TGCCCAAAACTGTCTTCTGCACATTTGATCCTTCTTATTATAGAGTTTTCATCATTTTTCCTCGACCGAGCCTTAATTTGTGAAAACACGTTAAAAGCCCGTTGTAGAATATGGATACCCACTTCTACCCAATCCTGCTCTGAGTTGAAAAACTCCCTGGCTTCCATCCACGAGGCTAGTTGTGACTGTGCCCATATTATTACTCCCGGGTCCCTCAGTAGGGAGACATTTAACTTATAATAGGAAGGCCCCCTTTTTGGGGCTTCGCTAATGTGAAAATCGGCTACCACAGGTCTATGATCCGATAGATCTGACACAAGTATTTCAACAGAGGTACATTCCTGCCACGGATGGCCTTTCATCAAGATGAAATCCAATCTTCTTCGAACTGGCGGTGTTTGAGAACCAAACCACGTGTATTCCTGAGCATTCGGGTTCAAAACTCTATATGCATCCACCAAGTTATCGACAATCATAAAACTCTGTAACAGCCTGCTGTCCGGTCGAATGGGGTCAGTGCTCGGACTATCCACAGGGAATCGCCTGAAGCCTGTCAGAGGAGGATTTTCTCCAAAAGGCACAAAGCTTGAGAAAGGGGGTTCCGGTGGATAAACTTTTTGCTTCATTTGGGCCACAAAGGGATCAGGGTCTTCGAAGGCGGGACAACACTCGTCCTTTTCCGTGTGATAATTCACACGGCAAGTGGAGCACCATGGAGTCGCTGCTGAAATAACTTCGAAATGATAGACGCCCTGACCTGGAATACCCACTAGTAACCTCGATTTAACCACTTTTCGAGCCTTAAGCTCGAGGTCAAACCGTACTGTTCCTAGCTCTGGCTCATCTTCATACTCCTCGAAGGGGTGGACCTTTAAGACTGTTCCAAAGGACTTCTCCACTGCTGTCTGAAGAATCGCAAGCAGCTGGAGAGGTACACGAGGGCAGCGAACCCAAAAAAAATTCAACTCAGCTTCCTTATACTCTTTCAGTTCCGCTAGGGTCATCCATGGAAGGACGGTGAGTTTGTACGTTTTATTTCCCAGATCCACGAAATCTTCCTTCTTCTGCTTTAGCCAATCGATGACAGAAGTTTGAGAGGAAACGAAGGAAGCCAAATTTTGTACCTTCATTTTGATACCTTCCTCTTTTCGCCGAGTCATCAATCAGGCCTGCATCATACCATTAATCCTCATAGATACGCACTAACTTCTTCTTCACATCGTTTGACAATATTGATGCCCTTTCAGACAGTTTTCCCCCAAAAAAAAATAAAAATAATCAGACAGTTTTTTGGTTGTCCTTGGGGTACTCGCCCGTCCATTGTTCTTGCAGCTCCCCTTTTACTGTTCCTCTTCCGTTTTTTTTTTTTTTTTTTTTTTTATTTTAAAGGAGGGATCAGATTCACTGGCTTCACAAAGAGGCAATGGCTCGTACAACGCTGCCCACATTGATTGTGGTTGAGCGGCAGCTGCCCACATCCCCGTGTGCCTGTGTGTGGCACATTTTTCTCATTAGGTTGAGACTCCTGTGAGTGAGAGATTTGGGCAGTTTTGCATGTTTGTCATCAGGCAGAAATGTCAAAAAAAAAAAAAAAAAAAAAAAAAAAGAAGAAGAAGAAGAAGAAGAAGAAGAAGAAGAAGTCAAATTTGAAATTACTAATTAGTTCCCGTGCGACAAAAATACGCCACATTCACCCAAACTTCGATAAAAGTTATAAAACAGCCATTTCGTCAAAAGGGACATGATTCTATTATTTTTTCAACGAAAATTTATTTGAAAGTTGAAACCAACAACGTTTTTGGCGGCCCCCAAAAAATGTCAAATTTTCAGCTCCTGAGGGTGGTCCGGCATTCTGAAAACGCTGGACCCCCTGGATGTATCTGGACTTGAATGGTTTGGTTGGAGGGGGGGGGGGGGGGGGGGGGTGGGGGGGGGGGGGCAGAGGGGGATGGGTGGCTAGAGTAGAATGGGAGTAGGGGTGGGGTAGAGGGAGAATCAGAGACTACCGCGCCTGGCCTTTGATGACTGGATGAACACAGAACCATCCTTCCCCCCCTGGATCCCCCCCGGACTTCCGGGACCCCTTCCCGCCCCGCCCCCTCGCCCTTGCTGAAGTGCTGACTGACCAACTCGCCACCTGAGTGTCTGCATCTACCCCTAAGTTTGTTCACATTCATGTCAGACTCTTCGTTAGCCTTCAGACTAGCGCCCATGTCCCGATCAGCCTTCAGATCTGTGATTTGCCCGAGGCGGGCTGTTATCCCCTGGGCAAGATCTATGTCATACCTGGTTACTCCTGAGAGCTAAGATTTCTGCGGGAGTCACAAAAAGAGTTTCAAAATACACTTTCAGAAAGAAAAGAAAAAAAAGGTTTCAAATTGCAAAAAAAAAAAAAAAAAAAAAAAAAAAAAAAAAAAAAAAAGAGAAAAAAAAATTCCCCACGGCGGACTGCGGAGAGGTCCTGCCCCCCAGTGCCCCTCCGAGACCCCGCAGCTGCCCCCTCCAGTAGCCCCTTGATTCACAAAACTGAGGCCTGGTAATGGCCCCCAGTGCCCCTCCTGAGACCTAAGATTTCTCCCCAGTGCCCCTCCTGAGACCTAAGATTTCCCCCCCGTGCCCCTCCTGAGACCTAAGATTTCCCCCCGGTATGTTGTTTATCTGAATGGAACCGTAAATTCAAATGGAACACTGGGCCCGGTTCCCAGCAGGTAAAGCTCCCCCCACCAATAGACTGGAGCAGCCAGCGAAGGTAAGAAAAAGAAGTAAAAAAAAGAAGGTAAAAAAAAAAAGCAGTTCCGGGGTTCTCCTCCGTACCCACTCTCAGACTGGTGGACTATTTCCACTTCCACGGACTGAGAGGCTGAGGTGCACCCACTACCGTCGTCACCGGAATAGAACGCCCGGGCATTATAATAGCTGTACGTGGCCGAAATTCCAGTCTAGATACAGTGATAAATTGCGGGCGTTCTATTTGGGTGAAGATGGTAGGTCTTCCCAACACTCAGGTCAGGCATCCATAATACCCAGGCCTTCACCCAGCAGCTGAGTATACTGCGGCTGTTATTACTACGGTCTTCACTAAATAGAAAGCCCGGTCATTAAAGCTGTATTTGGCGCAACTTTCAGACCAGATGCAGCAATAATGACCGGGCGTTATATTTGGGTGAAGACAGTAGTTCCCAGCTAAGGCTTGCAAGTCCAGCCACAAGGCACCCAGTGAAGTTCCCCGGTGCAGCCACTCGCGGACCATACTTGCACTTGTCTGCTGCACGTGCCTCTTCTCCATGTCCCCCCTCTCCCTCTTATGCATCTCCAGCAGAAGGAAACCCGAATAGTCCTCTGCACAACGCCCAGTGATTATCCTACTGTCCTACTGCCTGCACTTCGAGTTCCCCTCCAGGACCTCTGTGTGTGTGTGTATGTGTGTGTGAGACTCTTTCCTATTGCCTTCCTTTCAAGCTCACCCTCCTTCCCCCTTACATTCTCTCTCTCTCTCTCTCTCTCTCTCTCTCTCTCTCTCTCTCTCTCTCTCTCTCTCTCTCTCTCTCTCTCTCTCTCTCTCTCTCTCTCT